GAACCAATTACTCCGGATTCCTATTCAAATCAGTTTGTCCGTAGATTCGCTCTCGTGAGTTATACGACGGTTACATGGGTCATACGATGGCCACACGACTGATTTTTACAATTTTTAATAAGTTTCGACAAAAATCGATTTAGAAAGTTAACCATTGTTGTCAATAGTCGGAACACACTTGGGTTCATATCGTTGATCCATTTGTGTTGTCGGCGTATTAATACACTTCGATCCAATTACTCTAGATTCCTATCCAAACCAGCTTGTCCGTGGATTCGCTCTCGGACATAGAATAAGTGCTTGTGATCTTCGTGAGTCATACGACGGCCACATGATCTTCGCCTACAGGTAGCCTCGACCATCTGTGTTGTGCAAGCTTGTTGAGTTTATAGTGCTAGGCCATCAAGATAGTCAGCGTGCTCTGTTGCTATTGAGGAGCTTATTTTCGCAAAAGAGTCCTCGATGGTATTACCAGGTGTCTGTTGATAACCTGAAATTCAGTACAGTCCTACAGTGGAATGTTTCGCCATCTCATTAAGGATGTCCAGCATTCAAGGACTAAGTGTTATGTTATACAAACACCTGAGCCAGTTTTCAGCTCGCTTTATGGCTTATAGTTCAGCCTGAAGTAAGCTACATTGGCCGGAAAGCTACATTGAAGAAACTCCCGTTCCAGTATGTGCGGAGGCTTGATTCCATCACATATTGATAGTGTTGAATCGACGCTGAAAAGCTTCTTTCAACAGATAGTGCAATAATCAATGTTGCCTTGAATTGCACCCAAACAGTTAAAATGCCAAATATCAATTGTTATGACTCTAATCGATGCATTGAGGGCAAGCTCTTGAACCATCAACTGGTAATCAATTCATCATGACAAAAAGAGACTATGATAGAGTGGTACGATGGGGACCAGTTATAATTAGCGCTGATGCTTGAAGGATTGCTTCAAATCTCTTCCGGTGGACGATTCGTAAGGATTTCCAGCAGGCAAGTACACCACATTATGGACTTTACTAACTTCTTGAAGAGCTATTTGGTATTCTTAGGGATTATACACCAGGATAACCCTATTGCTCTTCTGCATGAGTATAGGGCCTCAGCTGCTTTGTTCACTCTTGATTGAGAGGACTGAATGTGAACCCATTTAACGTATTCTTAGTCAGGTCTATAAAACAGTGTTAAATAATCCTTGATCGGAAACTAAAAAGGAAAAAAAAATTTAACTCTTCTCAATGATCTGGCAGACTTCCTTGGACAAAAAGTAACATAATATTACTATAGGAAGTTAAGCGTACGTGTTGCTAGGGTACAAGTGGTGCCATAAGGTCTATATAAATCAAAGCTTTTGAAATATTTCACATGTTTACTGATTTGAACGATTATACACAGCGAATAACTTTGGTGTTAAGCCTTCTAATATTGATACCAGATAGGAGATAGTGGTTAAGCAGAACATTAGAGCAAACTCCAGCGGTAATCTATTCTCAAGTATGACTGGGAGACAAACCTGATGTGGGACAACTTTAAAATGTCTACCTAATCACAAAACTAGCTTCAAGGAGGAATCCGGATTGTATTAAATGGATGGGACTGAATATAGCGCCAATAAAGGTTAATATTTTTTCCGACAGTTAGAAGAGTCAAATAGGGCTTATCAGCCGATAAGACTAAATAAGGCTATTATAGAGGAGACATGAAGTCTTCCAGAATATATCGATTACTGTACACCAAAAACCCCTTTTCCAAAGAAACTTCGGTTATACTCTCTCCAAAAATTCGTGATTAGAGGAACACTGCTCCCTAAGAAACCTCTTCGAATACTTGGATGTTTTCTAGGAAGGAGAGCGAGTTGAAGGTGTAATTTCTATGTCTGAATTCAGGATCAAAATAACCTTAAGGATACAACATGTACTTTCAAAGAGAAGAAAATTGGCTGGACAAGCGGGGAGGAAAGCCACGAACGAACGAACGAACGAAACGAACGAAGAACGAACGAACGAACGAACGACGAAACGAACGAACGAACGAACGAACGACAACGAACGAAACGAACGAAACGAGAAACGAACGAACGAACGAACGAACGAACGAACGAACGAACGAACGAACGAACGAACGAACAACGAACGAACGAACGAAAGAACGAACGAACGAACGAACGAACGAACGAAAACGAACGAACGAACGAACGAACGAACGAAACGAACGAACGAACGAACGAACGAACGAACGAACGAACGAACGAACGAACGAACGAACGAAGACGAACGAAAACGAACGAACGAACGAAAGAACGAACGAACGAACGAACGAACGAACGAACGAACGAACGAACGAACGAACGAACGAACGAACGAACGAACGAACGAACGAACGAAAGAACGAACGAACGAACAAACGAACGAACGAACGAAACGAACGAACGAACGAACGAAGAACGAACAACGAACGAACGAACGAAGAACGAACGAACGAACGAACGAACGAACGAACGAAACGAACGAAAAGAACGAACAAACGAACGAAACGAACGAACGAACGAACGAACGAACGAAGAACGAACGAACGAAACGAACGAACGAACGAAAACGAACGAACGAACGAACGAACGAACGAAAACGAACGAACGAAAACGAACGAACGAGAACGAACGAACGAACGAACGAACGAACGAACGAACGAACGAACGAACGAACGAACAAAGAACGAACGAACGAACGAACGAACGAACGAACGAACGAACGAAAACGAACGAACGAACGAGAACGAACGAACGAACGAACGAAAGAACGAAACGAACGAACGAAGAACGAACGAACGAAAAGAACGAACGAACGAACGAACGAACGAACGAACGAACGAAACGAACGAACGAAACGAACGAACGAACGAACGAACGAACGAACGAACGAACGAACGAACGAACGAACGAACAACGAACGAACGAACGAACGAACGAAAACGAACGAACGAACGAACGAACGAACGAACGAACGAACGAACGAACGAACGAACGAACGAACGAACGAAACGAACGAACGAACGAACGAACGAACGAACGAACGAACGAACGAACGAACGAACGAACGAACGAACGAACGAACGAAACGAACGAACGAACGAACGAACGAACGAACGAACGAACGAACGAACGAACGAACGAACGAACGAACGAACGAAAACGAACGAACGAACGAACGAACGAACGAACGAAAACGAACGAACGAACACGAACGAACGAACGAACGAACGAACGAACGAAGAACGAACGAACGAAAAACGAAACGAACGAACGAACGAACGAACGAACGAACAACGAACGAACGAACAAACGAAACTAACGAACGAACGAACGCACGAACGAACGAACGAAAACGAAAACGAACAAAACGAACGAACGAACGAACGAGCGACGAACGAACGAACGAACGAACGAACGAACGAACGAACCGAACGAATCGACGAACTGAACGAACGAACGAACGAACTGAAACGAACGAACGACGAACGAACGACGCACTAATAAGAACGAACGAACGAACGAACAAACGAAGAAACGAATAAAGACGAGCTGAACGTAAGAACGAACGAACGAACGACCAACGAACGAACGAACGAAACGAACGAATAACGAACGATACAACGAGAAGAACGATAATACGAATCGAACGAACTAACGAATCGAACGAACGAACGAACGAAGCGAACTAGACGAACGAAAAGAAACGAACAACGAACTAACTAAAGATACGAACTAAACGAAACGAACGTAACGAACGAACGAACGAAAGAACGAATCGAACAACGAAGAAACGATAAGACGAACGAACGAACGAACGAACGAAAGAAGAACTAACGAAAGAACGAACGAAACGAACTAAAGATCCGAACAAGAACGAAACTAACTAACGAAGAACTAACTAACGAACGAACGAACTAACTGAACTAACGAACGAACGAACTAACGAACGAACGAACTAACTAACTAACTAACTAACTAACTAACTAACTAACTAACAACTAACTAACTAACTAACTAACTAACTAACTAACTAACTAACTACTAACTAATATCATACAGGCATTACAAAGGATCGATTGTCTGCGTCTTTGCAGCCTGAAAACATAACCTTAGATCATATCTGATTGTACGACATCCATAACCGAAAGCTAATCTTATTCTGATGAATACAGACTCGTTTGAAACAATCAGATCTTAGTACAAAGCCGCAATTTAAATCAATTTAGTGAGGTTTATGAGTGCAACTATTTATATCGAACGCATTCAGACAAATGCATAGCATTCAGATATTACAGTGAAACTCTGAAAGACTTTCTCTATTATAATCAAACAATGTTATTCCATATTTTACATACCTCAAAAACACTGATTGGAAAATTCTAAGGAACTATTTATACAAATTCAAGTTACTGAATTTGAGAATATTAGTGTAGAGATGAAATTCAACAAGTTTGAAAGAACCAAAACTTGTATGCCAAAAGGACTTATCCTCAAAAAATCAAAATCCATAGATAGTCAATTTTCGAAATGCACTCTATATTAACGACTGACGCTTTTAAAGGTGGGTATATAAGATTCGTCATAGTCGAATATACTACCAAAGTTATTTCTTTAAATACATTTATCTTAAACAAATAATGATTTTTATTTTAATATGTATGTTTATATATTTTAAGTTATTTTTAAATAATAACTATTATTTAATAATTACTTGTTTTATTGTTATTTTTTACTACAATAATAATCAATTAGAGGATGAGCAGACAAAAACTGCAAACTTTTTAAAAATAATAAAATTACTAGAATTTTTTTTTAGCAAAAAATAACTTAAAATTTAGTTCTATGTTAGTGGGGTTTTACCAAAAATGCTGAATAGAATTAAGCGACAATAAAAATTTACTATAAATTCTATGATATTAAAGGATTTGAAATCAGTTTTAATTTGTTCATTTAGTGAAAAACAAAGATTTTAACGATGAAACTTTTAATCTGTTTAACCATTTTGGTTGTAGTAGCTGTAGTTAAATGTCATCCTACTTTTGAAATACAAAATGGCGTTGAGACTTTAGAAGGTGTTGATGTTAATGCCGGATTAGATGCAAATGTAAATGCTGATGCCGAACTTACACGCAAAACTCGTACTATTATTGGTAGAGGATTCTGTTGTGGTGGAGGTTTCGGTGGTGGCGGTTTTGGACGCCGTCGCCCCTATTATGGTGGTGGTGGTTTTGGTAGGCCTTATGGAGGTGGAGGTGGCGGATTCTCCTCGGCTAGTGCAAGTGCTTCCTCATCGTCTTTTGGATTCGGCAAATAGTTATTAAATAATACAAAGGATTACAAAATAAATGAGTATTAAATAATTTATTAATCGTGTGTGTAGTACTTGAAATTTTTGCTGTATAATTATTCAATAATAAAAATTTAATTGAGTTCATATAACACATATGAATTTGTAATATAAATTTGTCCAGTATGTTTAGTAAAATATTCAAAGGTGAGGGTTTCTATAGCTGAATTGCAATTGTATAACTTTTAAATTACTACTTAGTGCAAATCTAATAAAATTTGTATTTAATCTAAAATTGGAAGATTTGTCTTTATAATGTTTATAATACAAATAACGGCTTAAAGTCCCGCCCTGCATTACCACCAAATGAAAGCGTAAGAATGTCCTTAGTAAGCTTGGGGTCTGGTGCTTCTTTTTTTCTTTAGATAGAAATGTTCTTGCTGACATTCGCTTCCCAAAGGTCCTGTTTTATCCACATTAAACACTTGCTGAAGGGTGTATTCAACCATCCATTGCCCGAATCCGCTCGTTTTTAAATGTGAGTTCTTGTTTGTATTTTTTTTTGAAGTCTAATAAGAAATATTTAGACTCATTCTCTTCAAAAATGTATCTTTGGCGGTTGTTTTTTTAACGCAAGCCACCCACTGAACCTCGATCATCTCAAGAACACATCAACTCGAACCCGTTATGATATCGCCAATAGTTCTTGAGATACCGAATTATTTCAAAATTAAAATTATTTATAAACCACTGTGTAAGAGAGTATAGAAAGCGTATATTAAAGATCATGCAATTAATTGTTTTCACTATGGGAGACAGAATTCTACAGATTTTAGAGATCTAAGAAATATTTCTTTACAATTTTCTATGGCGACAAATGTATGTTTAGAATCTTAACTTTAGATCATACTAATCTTGTATGTTTTATAACCTACTCCAATATAGTGGGGAGAGTATTATGCGTTTGTGCTGATATTTGTAACACACAAAAGTACACCCGCCTTTAAGTCTTTCACTTTCTGAGTCGATTAAGACATGTCCGTCCGTTCGGCTGGCCGCAATTTTCAAGATATTTTGATAAAATTTGGAACATGCGTGTTGTCCAGCACAGGGGCAAAGACTATTGAAAATGCTTGAAATCGGTCCTATATATCACCTAGCCCCCAAAAACAACAGTATCTTCCGATTTGGGCTTTTTAGCTCATAACTACGTCAAATATACTACTATCTCTTCCAAAATCGATACAACTAATGATAGACCCTTCTTTGTCGCTAGCGCCTATATAAACCTCCCTTAAACATTTTTTAAACGTCCGCAATTGAATTATAGCCATTCGTAGATGAAATTCTGCATAACTTTTATATAAAAACTAGCTATACCCAGTGTGCTTTGCTACTCTAAAATCAATGTATATAAAAATACACTTTACGGTTTTGAAGATTCTAAATGTAATAGTTTTCCAGATATAAATTTTTTACATTTTGGGGATGTCACGCAAATTATTGCAAGTTCGCCAATTTTTTCAAACGTTAATTTAGATTTTAATGTAACCTTTGAAAAAATTTAATAATATAATAGTTTCCCACATGTACGAAATTTTGTATTTAATTCATATGAGAGATCCCAAGATCCCATTGATAATCCGCCCATTTTTCTCTTAATGTTCACATAAATGTCGAAGTTTTTCATGTAAAATTTTCTAGTTCTTATATTTTTTCAGATATATATAGTTCTTATATATTTTTCAGATATAATTTTTTATTTAATTCATATGAGAGGTTCCAATTTACAAGTCCGTCAATATATTACCCAAATGTTGACATTGACTTCAAAGGATTTTTGCTCTAATAGTTCCCCAGACATACGATTTTTTCTACTTATTTCATATGGGAGGTTCCAACCCCCCTAATGATAGTCCGCCCATTTTCCCCAAAATTTTCAAAAAAATGTTTAATTTTTATCGTGCAAAATTTTAAGATTTTAGGTCTATTAGTTTCTCAGTCAAACGACAACGCTTATTTATTTACATGGATGTTAAACTTGTTCTTACAATATTTGAGGATTTTAGCTCTAATAGTTTTTCAAATATACGAATTTTTATATTTACTTCATATGGGGGGTTCCAAGTCCCCCTGATAAAAGTCCGCCCTTTTTCCCCAAATGTTCAGATGAATATTCTTGCAAAATTTTAAGAAGCTAGCTCTATTAGTATTAGTATAATTTTTGTATATTTTATTCATATGGGAGGAGAAACTATCCCCCCCCTTTGGTAGTCTACCAATTTATTACACAAAATATCCATTATATCCAAAAATATATCGACTTTTAATACTTATTTTGAATGTGAGCGTGACACGTCGCCTACTTGAAATTTTGAAGTAAAAAGTAGCCTATAGTTCCTTCCAGACATACAGGAAGACACTGTGAAAATTTCAGAAAAATCCGTCCAGCAGTTTAGCTGTCTATAAAGTCCAAACAAACAAACAAACATACAAACACACATTCATTTATATATATATAGATACATAATACATCCCTCCCCCAATTTGTTGAGGATCGGCCCATATTTTATAAATTAAGTTCTATTAAGTTCTATTAGTTTCCCAGATAAACGAAATTTTATATTTAATGCATATGGGAGGTGCCAAGTTTCCCATTGAAAGTCCGCCCGTTATGCTTTAAATGTTCACATGAATTTCAAAGTTCTTCATGTAAAATTTGAAGATTCTAGCTCTAATAGTTTCTCAGATATACGAATTTTTCTATTTCATTCATATGGGGGCTTCAAGACCCCCCAGATGAAAGTCCTCTTTTTTTCCTCCAAAATGTTCAGATGAATATTTAAGTTCTTTGTGCAAAATTTTAAGAATTTAGTTCCATTAGTTTTCCAGATAAACGAATTTTTGTCTTTAATTAATATGGGAGGTGCCGCTCCACTCATGGGTAGTCGGCCAATTTATTACCCAAAATGTTTAGATGGATGTTAAAGTTATTCGTGCAAAATTTTCAGATTTTAACTGTAATAGTTTCCAAGATAAACATATTTTTGTATTTAATTTATATGGGAGGTGCCACGCCCCCTAATGCTAGTCCGCCCACTTTTTGTCCTAAATAATTATATTGACACTAAAGTTGCTCCGACAAAATTTGAGGACTCTAACTGTTATATTATCTAAAATATACGAATTTAATATTTTATTAATATGGGCGTGGCTCCTCGCCCATTTGGAAATTCAAAATAAAAAGCAGCCTATTACCTATCCCAGACATACAGGAATACGCTGTGAATCGGTACAGCCGTTTAGTAGTCTATAACGTTCAAACATACAAACACACATTCATTTTTATATATATAGATATATAATTTTTAAAATATAATCATGGTGTAGGGTATCATATGGTGGGTCATGCATGACTAATAAAATGTTTATAAAAATTAAATTTTATCAATAAAATCGATTAAGTCACTTTTGACGGTTTACCGGCTGAAGGTTACCACTCCGATTATGAATGACAAAATTCCACAAATGGATGTTATGAACATGGAACTAAGATATAGGATAAATAATAATAATGCACCGGTATCTCAACTGATTTCTCCAATTTTTCTTCTACCCTCTATACATATCATATTCAAAGATATTAGATGAATAACAACTACACAACACAAATTTCTATTATATGAACAAACTTTCATTTGTCGTTGACTGTATAACTTTGTATAATTGAATTCCTAAAAGTATGTTAGGTCTTTAATTTGTTTTTAATCTAAATAAATTCTATTACAAAATGGGCAGTGTTTCCTATTTATATTGAAATAAAAAATCGTAGTATTAAACAATAAATTAATTAGAATTATTTTTATTATTTTTTGTGGCTTTTATACAATGTACTCGTGCTGTAATTAAACTGGGAATGTGGCGTATTTTTTTTTTTTATAAATTTTACTAAAATTGTTTTAACAGTAAACACGAGCAATTTCTAAAAACCACATTTAATAATGAAAAGAATACAATAATTATTAAGATAATTATTATTATCATTGTGTATTAAATCGTCAGAAGCTTATACAAAATAAACAAAAAAATATTGTTTTTGTTTTATTTAATTTAAAAATTTAATTTACGATATAATGAAATGTTATTATTACATTATAAAATAATATTTGAAAATAATGACCATTGAAACAAGTTCTATTGGGTTTTTTGCAACAAAAACACTTATTGTGGTAATAAATTTAAAAATTAAATCATTTATTTTGCATTCAAAGTAGATGAACAATTTATTTTTTTAACTGATAAATTAGTACGACTTTCACTTAATTTATGTCAGTCAAATATTTACTGGTATTACGTCTTGAAATTTAGTATGAATATTAATATATAATGATATACAAATCTGTTTAATATAAATTAAGAAAGCGTGCTTTCAAATGGAATTTGTGAATATGATGATGAATAGTATTCAATTATTATGAAAATAGGCAAAATCTATTTAGGATTTTATATAGGCCCCGAAATACAGTTGTTGCCTCCTTGAAGCCACATCATTTCCCACATTAAATAGACTGGATGACTTATGAGATTTGGGTAGTTTCAGAATCAGTTTTTTTCCAATAAAAAGTTATCTCATGGCATCAACTTCTAGCTTTCATGGCATCAACTTCTAGCCACTAAGTAACCTCAAAAGTCTTAAAGAAAATGGTATAATCTTTTTTTGAGCAAAAAAACAACAAAACATAAAATATCGAAACTACTTTGGGCAATTTTTGTTAGGACCAATAGGTCAAATGTTACACTCATTTCAAAAAATCCTGTATGATCAAAATGTCGAACTTTGACCCCCTCAAACTACGGCAGTTCTTGACTGGCCCACTATCCCATAGTACTAACATTGGTGTATATTTCACACAAACCCATATTCTATGTAAAAAATTTTCATGTGAATATATAATCCATTTGTAACAATTCTGCACACTACGTTTGTTATAATCTGCCCTTATAAAAGATCTTCAAAATTTAAAGGA